ATAAGGATTCCTCCTCTGGCCCCTTTGACACATTTGCTTTTGAAGGACCTGGAAGAGAAAGCTCTTTGTATGTGGTCAGAATAAACTCATTGTACACCCAAACAATTAACTCCTCAATGGACTTGCCAGACCCTTGAAAGGCCCGGCCCTGCGTCCCTGAACCTCTTGGGCTCTATTCAGTCCCTTAAGCACACCAATGTTTTGGGGTTTTGTTTTGTTTTTTTGTTTGTTATTCTGAAAAGTCTTTTCCTGAGAACAGTCAGAGCGGATCAACATTGTCCTCAGCCCGGCATTTATCTCCACTCGCCAGCGATTGTCAATCAGGAATCAAAAAGCCAAACAGAGGAGGCTTTGAACGGTGTCATCGGGGGTCGAAGTGACTTCCAGCTGCCTGTGCGTGGGCCAGGCCTTCTTGCAGGGCGCGGAATTGTGCTGTCACACAAACCTGCTGTCTGTAGAGGCTCCCAGAGCCTGTGCGGGGGCTGCAGCTTTCTGGGGCTGCACCTGCAAGGAAGCGAGCTTGGGAGCTGGGGACTCTGGGAAGGCCACACTCCGTGGTTCTGGTCTGGGCAGTTTCCAAGGCTGCTCAGTGCCTCTGGGGCCTTGAGCAAATCACTTTCTTACTGAGACTCAGTCTCTTTTTATCGGCCTGGTGACTTCCTCCGCCCTGGCCGGTGGGTGGTGAGAATAGATGAGGAAGGCCACCTGCCAAAAACTTTGAGTATTGTAAAATGTGGTAATAGTATTATTGTTGTTGATCTTGACATCATCCTTGAGAATTCTTTCAAGTTTGCCTTGTTTATTTTTTTAATGTTTCCAAATTTACTTTTCTCTCCCTGGAAGAAAAGTAAAAATCTTTGAATTGGCTTTTCTTTTTCACTGTTCTATGTGCTTTGCCTTGGTCTGGAAACGTGTCATGGTATGTCCAAGAGAAATAAAGTCTGATTATTTGAGGCCCAGAAGAATCACCAAGAGTGTCAGGCATCAAATTATCATGTGCATATATGTACACTGAGATCCAGATATATTTTTCTTTGAAACAGATGGAGAAGTCTTCCACCAAGTCAAGGATCGCTCAAATAACCTAGCTGCTGCCTGATGATGTATCTGTGGTGACTTTGATACTACCTCCCCTTTGTTTTAACAGCTTTATTGAAGTATAATTACATTCCATTAAAGTTACTCACAGCCAATGTACAATCTGATGAATTTAGTACATTTCTGGAGTGGTGCAACCATGACCAGAGATCAATTCCATCGCCCCCAAAAGAAACCTTGTACCCATTCACAGTGATACCCCACTCCCATCCCCAGCCCTGGGCAACCATGCATCTGCTTTGACTCTACAGGTTTACCTTCACTGGGCATTTCGTATAAATGGACTCATATAACATGTAGTATTTGCACATGGTTTCTTTATTTTCGTATAATGTTTTTGAGGTTCATCTATATTGCCACACACATTAGTAATTTGTTCCTTTTAACTGCTGAACAATATTTCTTTATATGGAGATATCACAGTTTGTTTATCTATTAACCAGTTGACAAACATTTGTTACCAGTTTGGGGCTGGACGTAGTGTTGCCGTGAATATTTGTATATATGGCCTTAGGTAGACACGTTTCTGCTTTTCTTGGATAGAGTCTTAGGAGTGGAATTTCTGGGTTGAATGGTAAGTTTATATTTAAGTTTTTAAAGAAATTGCAAATTCTTTTTCCAAAGTGGTTACCCAATTTTACATTCCCATCGGCAGCGAACGAGGGTTTCGGTTTCTCCATGCCAGCACTCGGTACTGTTGATCGCAAAAAATTTTAGCCATTCTAATAGGTATGCAGTGGTACCTCATTGTGGTCTTAATATGCATTTTCCTAATAATTAATAACATTGAGCATCTTTTCATATATTTAGTTAGTAGCTGTCCATGCATCTTTGGCGAAATGTCTATTAAAATATTTTGCTCATTTTAAAATCAGGTTGTCTTCTTACTAAATTGTAAAGTTTACTTTTATGTTTTTAACTTAAAACTTTGGTAGGATTTAAATTTTGCTAATCCAATTTTAAAAGCAGGCTGTAGGGTAAGATGTTTTAGTTCTATTTTATCTCCTTCAAGAGGCCTTTAAAGTCTTTGGTCCTACACAGTGTCCTGAGGCTGGGGAGGCAGGTGACCTTCGTTTTCAGGAGAGGATATCAGTGCGCAGAGAAGAAGAGTGAAGGAGGGGGTTCAGGTTACCCACTTACTGCATATCAGGCCTGGATCTGGAGTGTGACCCCACTGGAGACTGGGAGGCCGGAGACACATGTGGAAGTTTTTCTGTCTCCCCAGGGCCCAGTGTGGGGCCTGGTATTGCCCCAAGGCTGGCCAGGAGGCAGAGCCCATGTGGACCTTGGACCTAGGCCTTGGACCTATTTGGTGGAAGGGATGCTTGTTTGCTGGGGTGGAGCCAGGTGCCCAGGTGCCCGGAGATGATGGTCAGAGGGTCCTGTTGGCTTTGGCCTGACTTCCCATCCTTCGGGCACACTGGACGTCACAGGTGGCTCTCCTGGCAGCAGGGCGCCTCATCTTTTCTCACTTCATAAAGATTTCTACCTTGGGCCTCCCTGTGGCAGTGCAGCTGCATCTCTTCACCCTCGGTGACCCTGCCCTGCAGGAGGGCTCCCTCCCAGCACGTGGCTGCATGCTCTGTGGGCTTCCGGCCCACATCTGGGCAGTCGGGGAGGCCCTCAACCCGCACGGCTTCCCCGGAGGACGGCAGCCCTTCTCCCTGCGCGACAGGCGCTGCTGTCCGAACGCTGGGCCAGAGCTCAGTCCCAGGCGCTTATCTGGGTGATGGGAGAAGCAAACAGAGTGCTTTCTGTTGTTCTGCTCCAGAGAGACATACAGCTCTTGGAATATAGGAGGAGTTTAATTGAATATTAAAATATTACATAAGCCATTTTCCACTCGGGTTCTCACCGAGTTGTCCCCCTGGCCGTGTTTGGTTTCTCACTTTCCCTTTGTTACCTTCAGGGCTCTCTCTCCTCCACGCCGTGCGAAGGGGCTGAGCACACTGCTGGGCCATGCAGGCTAGGAACTCTGCATGCAGCAGCAGCAACCAGATGTGTATTGCAGCTGCCAAAAGACTTCATTCAGTGGCTCATTGAATTCAATGGAAAGAGGTGTTAATAGGGTCAGGGGAAGTGATGCTATTAAAAAATGACATTGTGTGGCCCTGCTCCGTGTTTATCCTCCCTCAATGACTTCCAGACAAACTTGCCCACTTGGCATCAAAGACACCTATTCCGGACTCCAGTGTGAGGCAAATAAGAAATCAGCACGGTTAGTTACTCTTCTCTTTCTGCTGCATCTTACGCCCTGGGATGACTGTCAGGTAGTTCAGGACGGCGTTGGCCCTTGGAGTTCGGTCTTGGTGTCAGCACATGAGAAGAAGAGTAAGGTCAGGTGTCACACAGCTGTCGGGTTGCTGGCTTCAGCCTCCACAAGGGTTAGGGTCTGCGTAGCTCTTCAATCTCGAGATCCCAAGGGTCAGGTGCTGGTGCAAGAAAGGGATCAGGGCTCTGTGTTCTCTTTCACACTCTCGATAAGACATGGGGAAGTCAGCCAAAGGCCTGGGAGCTCCAAGTGGGGCAGGATTGTTATTACTGATTGTCTGACTGGCTTTGTGGAAACTGAGAACTTGCATTCCCCATAAATGGTTAACACTTGGAGAATAAAGTGTTCAGTTCTGAAAGACCTCTGGGGGTCTCGGGAAGAAGGAGGGTATAATCATAAACATGTTCGAGACCACCGTGCCCTCCTTCTCTCTCCCCACGGAGGGAGAGAACAGAGACTTCTCTAAACTATGCGTTCTCAGAGCAAGGGGGCGGGGGCAAGATACCTGCTCCTGGCTTTCACCACGGAAGCAAAAATTGGTTCTGGAGGTGGGGGAGCATGCTCTGTTTACATAAAAAGCACAGATTTACATCCAGTACGTAGAGTATGTCTGTTTCATTAGGAAGGTGGTTAGGAGAAAAATGTCTAAAATGCCTTAGGTGGGCAATATTGAAAAAAAAAAGTTGGAAAATAATGCTGCAAACTTAGATTGTGTTTTGATGAAAATAACTGAGTCCTGAAAGGTAGATCAAACCTACACTCACTCCTGACCTGCAAAGCCCCTGCTCTGCAAAGAGAGCGGCCAACGCTGCTAGGCCGTGGGCGTCCGGGCTTCACGGCTGGGACCTGCCTGCTTCCATCATCTGTGTTAGAGGTTAGGGGTGCAGTCCCCTCTCATGTTATTTGCCGTTTCACAGGGGTTCCCAGTTCTCTTCAGAGTGCTGGAGAGAGAATGGTCCTTCCTGCCTCGTCTTTTTTTAATTTTTAAATTTTATCCATGCATTTTAATTTTTAAATTATAGTTGACATGCAGTATTAGTTGCAGGTGTGCAACATAGTGATTAGACATTTATACAACTTACAGAGTGATCACTCCGATGAGTCCAGTTCCCAGCTGATACCATACATAGTTACTACAGTATTATTGACTATCCTTATTTTACTTTGAATGTGAGTGGAGAAAGAGAAGTTAGGGAGGGAATAGCACCACCGTCTCTTGTTTTCCTTAAGCTATTTAATGAGGGCCACTGGAAAGGTACCGGGCCGCCACCTTTCACAGGAGGGCAGGAAGACACTGGGGGACACCGGAATTTGACCCCACAATGTGTGATGACCTTATGTGATCATGTCGGGCCCACAGTCAGGGCTACTGGGAGGAAAGGGAACGCGGGTGGATGGGGAGGGGCCCTCCAGACCGTGGCAGCCTAGCTCCCCGGGTCCTGCCGGCAGAAGGGCGAGCTCACACCTGGGTTGGTCTTCCTGTTGCTATCTCTCTGTTCTCTCTTCCTTCTTGTTCTGTCCTTTTTTTCTTTCTCTTTGGTTTCTGCATTGGGACTTGGCCGGGCCACGTGCAAACCCAAACCATTCAACAGTGCTGGAGAGTAGATAGTATTTACCTCAATAATGGTAGTCTCTTTTCGATTCTTCTTAACCCTCAATTCAGATGACGGGTCCAAGCCGACGCCCACGATGGAGACGCAGCCGGTGTTCGATGGGGACGGTAAGCTCTGGGATTCCTTCCGACCCATCCCCCCACCCGGGTTCAGATTTGGGGAAGGTAGGTCTTTCCTTCGGATGTTTGTTTAAGCTTTATTATTGTTTTTTCTTTTTTAATTTTAATTTTTCCCAGTTTAGGCTGGGTTATTTTAACCTTTAAAAAAAAATGCAAACCCTCCCAGGAACTGGTACGCTCACCCCTTCTGGAAAGGCCTCTGTTCTTGCCAGGCCTCCTGCCTGGCCACTGATGGCCAACAATCACAGCCTGACAGACCCTTCGGCTGCCAAGCCTGAGGAGCCATGGCCGAGAGACAGGCCGGCACCGTCCCTTCGGGAAGTGAACGAGCACCTAGAGGCTCTGCTCTGTCCCCAGCTTCATGCTAGGCCTCTGGGGGACGAAGGAGAAATGGGCAAGATGAAGCTTTACTCCAAAGACAGCGGCAACCACTGGAGAGCTTTGTGTACTAAATTATGGGGTCTCCGTTGTTATTGTAGTAAAATTCGTGGAAGGAAAAGATCACAATGGCCTGGGAAAGGTTCTGTGAGGAGATGGGTGGGACTTGAGCCGGACCTTGAAAATGAGGAGGAAGAATTAGGGCATTCCAGGCAGAGGGACTGGCATGGGCATGGGAGGGGTTTCTGTGGGGATGGGGTAGAGTAAGGAGAGTAGCAGGAAAGTGGAGCTGGTTTGGTTAAGTTGTAAGGACATTGAGAGTTGAGTTAAGACACTTGAGAGAGGAGAATTCTAGATCATTGGTGATGCTGGTGGTAAAATAGGGGTTGGATGTCCCTAGAGCTATGGGGAATGTTCAGGAGGAGCTTGGGGTGCAGAAAGCTGGCCTTGATTTGAGTTTGAGGTGCTCAGGGCTTATATTCTTCCGAGTGCATTGCTAAATACCCCATGTTCCCATGAGGAGGTGCGGGATGCTCGGCACAGTGCCAAGGTTCATCTCTTGGTACAATGTATAGCAGCCTTGTAGCAGCTCTCAGCCAAGTGTATCCAGGCTGGATCAAGAGCCTGGGCAGTGAGACAGAGGATTAAAAAGAAACCATGCCACTGTTTGGTACTGTGGCTAAGAATGTCCCTCGCACAGGCTCAGCTCTAGATAGAGAAAGTGAAATGTGAGTTATCCTTTGTAACTGATCATTTGGTGGGACATATGTGTGTTCATGCCCAAAAGTTCAAGTGCTTCTGTGATCCAGGTCCTTTATCATTGGCAAGTCTGGGACCCTGGGGGATTGGGTGGGGAATGGAGACCACACCGACTAGGGAGACCTCTTCAATACCCCCATGAAGATCTTATCACTCTCCAATGTGTTCAGAGTCATCTGTTCACCAAGTGACCCAAGCCCTGGAAGACCTAGAGGTGCCCCAGCACTCTCTCGATGGGGATCGACCCCTGTTCAGTGAGGAGCCATTGGATAGGCTGTGCAGTACATATCCACCCTCCACTCCCTTTCCCGTGTGCAGCGGTCTCAGCACCTAAGATCCGTTGTGGCTTAGCTGTTTCCTCCAAAATGGTCTTTGTGGTTTGTTTGGTGCTCATTTGTTGATTCATGCCCTTTAAGTTCTTCCAGGGAAGCAGCGAAGAGAGACTTGGCTTGGCCCAGTTTCCTTACCTCCTGGGATAATATTTTTATTCCTGGATGGAGTGGCTCAGCCCTTCTGGGCTCTGATCACTCAGCATCCCAGAACAGGAGACCCTGCTTGGCCATACGCTGGCAGGGAGAGGAGCTTCCACAGTGAGGAAGGGAGAGGTTTTGGACAAAGTGAAGATGAGGTAGATAGTCAAGCCTCAATGCCTCAGGCTTAAAAAAAAACAAAACAAAACTATTCAAACGTCTGGGGGTTACACTCCAATTTACATGCTCTCTTTGCCCGGACTTTACTTTCTCTCTCCTCTTTTTCCCCCCAGAAATCACAGCTCCCACTCTGTGGATTAAGCACTTGGTAATCAAGGACTCCAAACTGAACAACACCAATGTAAGAAATTCAGGTAAATAATCTGCCTTGGATGGAATACTTACCTGATAGTCCATGACTATCTATTGTGTGGGCTTGCACACATTGTTCAACCTGTCTGGTCTTCAGTGTCCACAGCTGTAGAAAGACATTCGATGAGTTAATCCCTTCCAACTTCAGTTGTCTTCTGTCATCTCAGGGATCATCTTTCATGAGTAGTTGATACTTTTAGCTAAAAAAAAAACCCAACCTTTTGGCTCTATATTTTAATTTCTAATTGACTTTCTGGAAGAAATATTTGGAAGAAGAATGGTTGGGCATAGAGCAGTTGGACTTCAAGCCTCCAGAGCCTTGGTTCTGTGGGGTTTTAAGGCTCTAAATGGATGCTTATGGTTGTATCTTTTCTAGTCTGACCGTTTGAGGGTCTTGTGAGTGGTCAGGTTTGGGTTCTGGTTGAACCCCTTGTAGAAAGGTGATCATTTGCGAAGAATGATAAGATTTGTAGAGTTCATTTACCATCAGTGAAGACCAACATCAATAACGTTTATTTGCCATCAGTAAAGACCAGATGTCCAGCACCAGGAAGTGGATTGACAGACCAGTCGGTATCTCTGTCAGTGGGAATCACCCTCCTTTCCGCCTAAGGCTTTATTGTGAGAAATGCCACTTGCATAACTTATGCCTGCTCATTGAATTTAGCCATTTCCTCTTTTCCCTGTAGATAGCAAGGACTAGAAACAAAAGATACATCCTTTTCGACTGGCAGACTTTTACAAAACCCGTGGTTCATGAGTGTGCTGTCCTTGGCACCCTTGAGCTCGGTCCGGAAGGAGGTGGTGTGGGGACCAGTGTGCGTGGGGTGAGTTAGACTGTGAGGTGAATCCGTGCGGGATTGGTTGATCCCTCTGTGACTTGGGCAGGCCAGCACCTCAGCACGTGTCTGGTTCCCTGTTGGATAACAGTTGGAAGAGCTGTCGGAGCTGGGTGGGAAGGAGACCATGTGAACTCCCATGGGCCAGAGTCTCTGATAAAACAGGGCTGTGGTTAGAGCACAGGCTTTGGAATCCATGAAGTCTGGGTTCACTTTTTGGTTCCAGCATAAATGAGTGACCCAGCCAAGTCAGATAACCCCCCTGAGCCTCAGCTCTCATCTTGGATCGTGCTCTCTCCCTCAAAGAACGGTGGCTAAAGGTTAAGTGAGTTAATGTCTGTGTGACACTTGACAGATACCTGTAAGATGCGTGGCTAAGTGATAAACAGTAAGTGCATGATAATTGTCAGTACGTGTATTTGTTATGATCATCGTTGTTGGTAAGAAAATGGGAATATTAACGATGCTGCTTGTAGTGAGAATTCTTCGATCAGGAGAGAATTTGTGGTTGTTACCTGAAGCAAGAGCCTCACTCAGGACGCTTCTACTTAGAACCCTCTCCACTTGCCCCTCACTGTTAGGCAGATGTTATAAGTCAAAGAGAAGGGGTTTGGGGGCTGGTGGTACCTGGAAGTGATCTCTGCAAATGGTCTCCCAGTCCCTGAGCCCCCGGCAGGCCTGCAAAGCCCCAGGACGAGGCTTCATTCTGTGACCAAGTGGCCAACGTGAGGGTTGCTGTCTCTGAGATCATACAGCCTCTTTTGCCTAGACACTCATTTGACATTTAACAATTGCTTCCTGCCTTGGCCGGTTTGGCTCAGCGGTTAGAGCGTCGGCCTGCGGTCCTGAGAGACCCGGGTTCAGTTCCCGCTAAGGGCACGTACCTCGGTTGCAGTTTGTCCCCGGCCCTGGTTGGTTGTGCAGGTGGCAGCCACTCGATGTGTTCCTTTCACGTCGATGTTTCTCTCTCTCTCTCTGTTCCTCTCTCTCCCTCCCACTCTACCTGAACAAAAAATGGAAAAATGTCCTCGGGTGAGGATTAAAAAAAAACAATTGCTTCCTTTTCATCTACAAGTGGTCGATTTTTCTACTTAAACTATAAACTCTGCGAGGACAAGGCCTTTCTTGGCTGTCTGATATATGTGTTACGGAATCTAGCTCAAGTGTTGGATTGCCTTGGGGAAGGATGGAGGAGGGAAGATCGTCCTCCCCAGTGAAACCGGAGTCATCACTGTCATCAGAGTGTCCGTGTCAGGTCCTGGAGAGCTGCACATGTGTTGTCTCATTTGAGCTTCTCCATAACCCTACGAGATAAGTGCTGTCATCGTCCCCATCTGACAGGTGATGAGTCAGAGGTGGAAAGAGAGGAAATAACTTGTCCTGAGTCACAGCCAGCAAGTGGTGGGGCTGGAGGAGACCATGTCCTTGGGAACGGATGCCTGCCTTCTTGAGTGGTCTTGGCCCATGGGGAATGCAACGCCAGGGACCGATGCTGTTTGCTTCCGCCAAGTCCCACTCGTTTCCGGTCGGACGAGTCTGGGGCCGTGTTGCGAAATGATTTCCAGGTAGGTATAGTCACCTTCCTTTTGTGAGAGTGACCCAGCCACTTTCATTTTCCCCTGGTTAGCCCTAGTTATGTCTGTAAGGTTAGTGTATAGGACAGGATGTTGGGGGAGAGAGAAGAGCAATCGTTCCTGTTGGTGGAATAGCTTTCTGTAGTGTGCGAGCCACTTTCCAGAGGGTCTCACTTGGTGTGAGGAGAAGTCAGGGGTAGTATGATGGTGCCTCGTGGCTGGGCAGTTGGCTCCGGTACGGACTGGAAGCCCTGGGTCAGGCCCCTGAGACAATTTCCCATTCGAGTTTGCCGGCAGATTCTGGCTTCCAGGCAGCTCTGGCCCGCATCTCTGGGGAGGCTGGAGTGGGCTCTGAGAACCGACTCCCTGAGCTCCTCCCAGCTCCCTATCTCGAGGCAAAGAGGCCATCCCAGCTTCTCTCACACCCCAAACGTCCGTCTTTCACACTCAGACCCTGTGACGCCAGGTTTGTTTTCTGGCCTGGAGACTGTGGATGTTGGACAGGCTCCACTGGGCAGCCGGAGTGTTGCAATAACATGACACGTATGTCTGCAGACTTGTCCTGTCCCCTTCGCTCCTCCCGGAGGTTTTGGTCCTGGCTTTTAAGGCTTTGTCCTGCGTTCACCGTGGTCAGTGTCCCCTTTTGAGTGCTTGGCGGTTCAGCGTTGGACAGGTTTGCCCCACTGGACTTCCCTCTGGTTCTTACACCAGGAGTTCTTGCGTTTAGGGAAACCACGTCCCGGCCAGCTGACACCTAGAACTCGAGAGTGGGCATTCTCGTGCCTGAGGGTTGGCCGGAGACTCTGTTCTGCTTTTATAAGAAAATAAGAACTCTTGCTGAGTTCTTTGTTTCAGGGGCTAGCTACCAAGGGATTTCTTAATATAACTATGATTAAAACAATTTTTAAAAGTCATCTACATTTTATAGAAGGGAGTGGAGAGATGAAAGAAATGACAAAAACTAGGCTCCCTCTCATCCTTCATCCTGTGCTGCACCGCTTCTAATCTGACTGTTTGTGGGCGCTAGCCTGCAGCTGTGACTTATAAAGTCTCTTCTTTTCTTTCTTTTTTCTTCCTTTCCCCCTCCTTTCCTCCCTCCCTCCCTCTCTCCCTCTCTCTCTCTCTCTCTCTTTCTTTACAAATGTTAGTGCTTTCTTCTCTAAGAAAATGCTCTCTCTCAGGAGATATGGTCCTTTGAGCCTTAACCCTGTTTTTTGTGCAGCTTGGCAGTGCCCTCGAGGTACATCGGTCCCTCCCCTGGTCCCAGGTCTCAGTGGCCGCGTCCTGTAGCCTCTGGTGGAGTCAGTTGACTTCCCTTTCTCCTTCTCCTTCGCTTTCTTTCCGCTATGGCCATCTTTTCCAGTCGACTTCTTTCATGAGCTAATCTGGGACTTCAAGAAGGCTGTAGGACCTGGCCCCTGGGTTAACTCCCAGACCACGTCTGCCCTTCCCCGCCTCTGTGCCCGGCAAACCCGGCAGCAGCTCTTGTGGCTGTCCCCAGAGACGGCCACCAGCAGGGTGCAGGTGGAAATGCGTTTCTTGAGTTCTGCCCGCTGCCTCTTGTACTGAGTGAGTCTGCCTGCCTCCCGTCCACGTCACAGGACGGCTGTCGACGGCATCTCGCCGTCACCTGCCCGGCTCGGAGCACCGCTCCTCCAGGCCTGCTGTGGGCCTTTTGGCTGCTTCTGGATGGTTCCTCCCTCACCGGGGAAGCTCCTGTCTGGAGACTTGCTGCTATGGTGGGGAGTTGGGGTCACTGAGGCAACTACACCTCTTGGCTGATTCCCCCACCCCCAAACCAGCACTCTTGGCCTGCCCAGAAACCGCGGGGTGATGTAATGACCTGAGGCCTGGAAAAATAAACAGCTCTCAGGGAAACCAGCGGTAGCCGTTGTAAGCAAATACCCCACAGCCACCTGGAACCCGCACATGACGTGATTGGAAGGAAGAATGAGTAATCCACGAACGTTAGCAGCCGCAGACGGGTCTGCGCTTGTGTGCATTCCACGTATCTGTATGAAAACAAACGCTCGGTGTTTACTTCTGTAACCGGCCTTCCGCAGGTCTGCCCGTCTATCTTATGCAGGTGTCTTGGTCGGTCATGGCCAATAGAAGAGAGCTGGGGACCGGGGATCCTCCCTACAGCCTTCTCTGTGGCAACAAAGGCCTTTCTCAAGTGCAGAGAGGAGCTGCAAATACGTTTGGAGGCCGCAGAGAGCCGAGCCCCAGCGTCCATTTATACCTTGGTTTAAAATGAGCTTTTCCGGCTGCCTTGGGCCTTCACCCCACGTTGTTTGCTTGAAACACAGAAATGTGGTGGTGTGGGTGCGGGGGTATCATCCGGCCTCAGGAACTTGCTCGACCAGCAGAGGTTTTGTTTTTTCTGTAGGTGAGTTTGTATGCTTTTTTGGTGTTGATAGCAAAACCACGTGTCCCTGTGTTTTCCTTACGGCCTCTGTTGATAAAAAACGGAACTCAAAGGTCCTGCCGAGGTATTGTGATTGACTCCTTACAATTTGCCAGAAGTCAGCTGTGGTCTCTGCTTTGATCTGAGGGTCCTCGTTCTGTGTTTATTTGTCAGATGGCTTT